TAGCTTTTCAGTCAATTTTGCTAGTTTGGTTTCCTTTGCCTCTTTCATTTTGCATGAAACACTTGCTTGGCAGAAGTTTTGGATCATGGTGGTCCACATCCAGCAGTAGGAAGGTCATCCCTTGCACTTGGATGAGTGCTAGCGTGTTTACAGCCACACCACAGAGCCCTGCTCAAAAGAAATCTTTGCAAGGCAGTGCTCAGAACAAGAACAGCTATTGGTAACTTACAATTTGTCTTCCCTAATGTTATTCAGAGTATAAAAACCTTATTTAGAGATGAAGTAAAAGCTTTGTGTAGCCAGGCATTATTTGGTGATGTTCCAAAACATCTCTGCTCACCTGTGAACTGCAACACAAAAGATTTTCTTCATTGTTTGGCTATAGTATTTCTGTTCACTTTGGAATAAACAGCATCGAAGGATCTAAAAAAAATTCTGCTCATACATTTAATGTGTTTTAATTTTCCTCTTCTAGACTATCATCTTATTGCCTCAGCCATCTTCTGCTACTATTTACAGGGGGGTTTGTGCTAGAGGCTTTAGAAGTTACTTTGTTTTAGCACTAATTCCTTCCCTTTCTAAATTCAGTGTTTACATTAGTCAGTATCTAAACATAAAATTTATTTGACTAACTGCTTAATGGCCTATGAAAAAATTGTTTAAACCCCACACATTACTAAAGCTGCAAAAGAACATATATCACTCCTTTCTGATCTTTACACAGGTACTTATTTAGATATATAGATATATATAATGGAAACAAACATCTTCCACGTCACTGCTGTGCTCCCTTAGCTTCCCAAAGCGTGATGCAAAAGGAGCTGTTCTATCAAGAGCAGTTGTCAAAATGACATAGATGAAGTTTTCACTTTTAAAGTACTTAATCACTTCCTCCACCTTAATGAATATGAATTGTTATACAGAACAATAAAGACTTTGTAATTAGGTAACATGGTTAAAATGTGGGCTTCCAGAATAAAAAACCTAATATATGACTGAAATATGCAATTAAGTCATCAACAACTTTACTGAAGTGCTCCTTTCCCACTTCAAGTTCATCTTTCCCTTCCTTCTCTGGTTTGCTTGGCAGTTTCTCATGTTTTATGTCAAAAAATAAAAGTTAAAAATGGCCTACCTCTCATAGCGTGTACAAGAACTGCTTAAAGACACCATGATGGAGAGAGAATAGTTACCTCTATCATGGGGGAGTCAGGCACTCCCATTTGTGTTCCTTAGGACTGTTTATTCCAAGAGAATACAAAGACACAGACTTGAATGTGTCCTACAGAAATGGCCGTGACTCACACAGGTATATACCAGGCAGTGAAAACCACTAATTGGTTTACTCATTGTCCCAAAGCAGAGTAAAAAATGCAGTCAGTTTTCTCAAGAAAGTCATGTACTCAAACCACCATCAGGACTTCAAGGAGCTCAAGAAATGGCAGTGGATGTTAAAAATCAATGACCAAAAATTCCCTGAAATCAATACCAAGAGTTTGTCTCGGTCATCTTTCTGAAAACAATGAGCTCCTCTGGCAGTGACTGGAACCACTCATGTGCAATGCTACCTGCCATCATGTCCTCCTTAGCACTGCAAGGATTATTCTTGCCAGGTGAGTCACTGTCCTTAGAGGGTTGTCAGCCTCTTTCACTCAGAAATAGGTTCTTAAATATTCCAGTAGAATTTACTGCATGTCAGTCAAGTCTGTAATCGTACGGTTAAAGGAATTTAAGTTAACTGTGTGCCTGCTCCCGTTCTGATGTCTTTCTCCTCATGAGAAATGAAGAAAAAGTAGCTGTGGAGAATTATTCCAGAGACAACAGGAGCCAAGAGCCATGGATTCAAACAGAGGCAAATTAGTCTCGTATCTCACTGTGAAGCAACACTGTTCCCCAAGTTCTTGAAGGTGCAAGGATTAACATCCTATACACGGGCATGTCGTGCAAAGCACCATTTCTACAACTGGCCTCCACCTCCACTGCAGTGCTGGGATCTGCACGCCTCACTCCCTGGTGTGCAGGGGATGGCTTCCAACAAGTCCTGCCAGGGCTGTGGTGCAGAGTGCAGCTGTTTGCCTGTGGAAGTGCCCTGTGCAACCTCCTCTGAACACAAAGTGCGTGGGCACATCTCCCCAGTTCGAGCACCGCCCTCAGTGTTCTTTTAAAACCCCAACCAATGTGGAGGTGCCCATTTTTTGAACATTTACCATCCCTTTCCAAGTGAGTGACCTGTGTAGCCTGGCTGCACATCCAGTGACTGAACCCCCACCTGAGAGCTGAATCAGACCAACCATAACATGCTGTGGTCCCCAGCATACGCCAATAATGCCTCACCCAGCACAAGGGAGACTATATAAAAATTTTGGAAACTTATCTGGGAAAGGAGACATCTGTGTTGTACTCCCTGCTCAGTTAACTGCTTTGTGCAAAGCACAACAACCTTAGGAGGGACTGAGATGCTTAACAGCAAACACACTGTAAAACTGATCTCTGTGTCGCAGAAGAACCTCAGTCCTAGAAACCAAGTCCCACCTATCCCAGGCAAGCTTTTCAACCACAGAGCTACTGATAAATCAGTATTGTGCTACTCTCTCAGCCTTCCGAGTCTCACAAATGAGACACACAGGAAATACATATATTTTACATACTTTTTGCCACATGTCTAGTGGCTTTGTGCTTCAGAATCTGGGTGAAACGTGTGCGAGCTCGGCAAGGACAACATAAACATCTAGGATTTTGTGCTCCCTACATGATAGGCTGACATCATGTATAGTGAAGTGAAAACAGTGTGAGGACTGCACACCACGTCCTCAGTTGCACTGATACAACTGCATGTAAGGCAAGGCTGTAAACCAGATTACTGAGGCTGTGACCATTTACAAAAAAACCCAACATTGCAAAAGCCAAATAATGAAATAATCAAAGCCACACAGCAAACTAGTTCATCCTTTTCTGGAGTAATTTGCAACTGCATTACTTTGAAAACTCAGCTTACAACACAGCATGAAAAGCACTTCCAACAGCACAGCTGAAGGAGCAGCAAATTTGGCTGTAAAGGACAGGAGCAGGAAAAACTTCTAAAGACAGTTTTGGAGTTGAATTCACTATACTGTGTAACTAATTTCCTCATATAAAACTAAGTACTAGGGTCAAGTTTATGAGCATTGTTACTGCTTGATATTTGATAAAACCTGCCAGGGCCTGACAAGATCATCTGCTTTTTTTTCTTTCTTTTAAATCACGTCGCCAGTTGAAAAAAACATGGATACTAAATGGATACTAAAGCTAGGATTTAAAACTACTGTGCCAAACCACTTGCTCCAAATGCTACAAGTATACAAATCAAACAAAATTCAACTGGAATTTGAGGTTCTCACCAGCTCTGACAAGTTGGAGTCTGAAAATCTGGCCCTCAATGCATGTGTGTAGGGCACCAATAAATTCTTATTTTTACACCTACCCTCGAAGAAAAAGCAAGAGACTGAAATAAGGAAATTACTGCATATATTCAGATGGATAAGTATGTTGTAAAATGAATAACTAGGCAAGGAAAATCATTAACAATAGAGCCATCTGCTGTATTTCAAAAAAACTACACCAGCAAAAATTCCGAAAATGGTAAAATAACCTGAATTTTTCACTACTCCATGTTATGAGAAGTGATCATAATGATTAGCACATCAGTTTAAATGACAGGAAATGTGTATTTCTTACACCTCTTCTAATTAAAAGCAATATTTAGTGGCATAGTACTGATCCTCTGTGTCTGATGATACTAATTGACATTGTAGCTGAGCATATTAAAAGCCTCAAACGCTTTCCATTCCATTTGAATCAGATAAGCACAGTACTGTGTATGGTGACAGTGAGGTCAGCAGCAAGTTGAATATTTAAATACTGCCAAGACACTTGCTTTACAACAAGAATTCCTGGTACAAAGAGTTTATAGTAGAAAAAAAAATCAACACAAAAATGAGGGGAAGTTTAAAACACAGATTAACCCAAGGGGTTCTTAGTATATCTTTCAACTTCCAGAAATGAACTTGAAGAGCCCTCTTTCAAGCATGGTGGAAAAAGCAAGTGCCTAGAAGCAAATTCCCAGTTTTGCATCTTAAAGATAGCATTAAAACACAGATCCAAAGTCATGGGTAAACTAGGAAAAATTGTACCAGCACAGCCCCAAAGCAGCAGAGACAATATACTGCTGTAAATCTGGGTGCTATAGCTGTGCAAAAAGGTAACCCCTACAAAGTATACATAGCCCCTAAAAACTCTATCCTGTTCATGGGAACGTGTTTCTCAGCTGAAAGGTTCAGAATAAAAGACAGACAGACTCTGAGCATCAGGTTTGATGTAATCAAGTTTTCAAAGACAGGGAAGACAACACCTTTTGAAGTGTCAATTAACTGCTGGTAGTGAGAGTCCCTGCTTTTGAGTGTGCCAGTTAAAACCAGTTATAAACTAGCCCATCTCAGTGCCTGCTGGAGCCTGTGATGTTCTTCCCTTCACTGCATTTCCCATAGAGTTCGTTTCCCAAACCTCTCAGAGGTGATCAGAAGAAGTGACCACAAACCAAAAATGAGAGCTGTCAGCATCAACCTTCACAGGGAAGTTCCCCCTGCATTTAAAATAAGCTGACATGGCGTCACCCAACATCATATCTGTAGGTCACCACAACTGCCTCAATAAGTCTATCTGCCCCAAATGTATGTGTCTTTATTAAATATACCAAGGATCAGATGTTTGACAACAAATATTACTTGTTCCTACAAATCCTGTCATTCAGCAGTTTTAAGTGTTATTTAACATTTCATTCCGTTTTTGTAGGTTATACAAAACAAGTGACACTTCATCATTACACCTGCAACTTCAGTAATTGCTACACAACAGTTTTTTTCTACTTTCGACAAAACTAAACTTCCACGACTAGAATTTTTAAAGCATCATAAATAATATAGCAAAGACTTTCTTAGCTTGAAAAGAAAACCACATATATTTACCTGCCATCATAGCAATCATACTGGCTTTGTAGACATTAGCAAGGGACCCCAATTCACCTGTTGCCAGGATTGTTTTCATGTGAGCTTCTCCACAGGCCTTACGGCACTGACGTATCTCCTCGTAGAGACCTGTGGATAAAAGCATAGGAAAATGATCAAAGTTGCCTGAGAGACATTTCAAGTGTGGCTGTAATTTCCACTTCTGGATTAATTTTCCAATCTTATAATTAGTCATAGCACTCAAGAACTTCAGTTTTGCAAGTTCAATAAATTACGTGACTGGAGGTAATTAACAATGCCATGCATTTACTTAATAGCTATTAATGCCAGTTCTCTCAAAACTACAAATGTGCACTGTATGCCAAATACTCAAACACATCAGGAGTAAAAAATGCTATGATAGTAAAGATTGATTTTAAACCAGCTTTTCCAGCAATAAATATGGTAGTACATTGAATCAGTAGTCAGGGATGGTTACGTTTTTCCACATACATCACTCTCTCCCTTTCACCCACATTTGCCAAAGTATTCCGTTTAAAAGACACCAAAGGTGTGACCAAGTCATATGATTGCAAACATTAGTGCCACCTGAGATGCCACAACATATCTCCTTGGCTTCCAGCTGCCACTTCTGGATGATCCACATCTCCCTTTAGTTTCCTACTGTTCTCCCCAGCACCATAGAACCAGCTCGGGAAGTCTGATTATGGAACTCAATGTCTGTGTTTAGGCATCTGAATCCCACATTAAGCTTCTTAGAAACAAGAATTTCCTGAAAAAAATCAACACAGTGTGCTAATATCCCTGCAGAGGGGAGGCCAAGGCCTGGGATCACACCTCAAGGACCAGCAAATTCACACGGATCTGTGACCGGGAGGGCAGCCCAGCATTTGGCTGTTCAGGGACATTGTCCAGAGCAGACCACCAGCCTCACAAACTCCTGCTTTCAGATTTACAAAGTGTCATGGCCAAAGAGGCATGCTTGGCTTTCTAACAGTTTTGTATTTTCACAGACTCAGTAAGGACTGGAATAAATTTGGACATAACCAACTATAAAAAGGCCAGAACTTGTGAACCCGGTCAGGTAATGCAACATGGGGAGCACAGTGAAACCCTCCCATCCTTTCCAGTAAAATTCACCAGTGCTCCCACAAAAGTTTATATGTAGGGAGAGGAAAAGAGCTAGAAATGAATGAAACACAGCTGTCAGAAGTTGGCCACTTGGGAATGTGTAAGAGTCCTCCTGTGTGGGGAGAAAAGCAGCTCTTCCAGTGTACAGCCACCACTTCTGGAATTCAATTTTTTTTAAAAAAAAAAAGATGCAAAATAAGCAAACGGGATCCTTCGCAACAGAGTCTTTTTTCAAGCACATAATCAAAAACTTCTTTGGTAGAAGGCTAAAATACAGCTTTAAATAAGTCTTGCTAAAACAGTCCAGACTATAAAGACTAGTTTTTTTCAGCAAGACTTCTTTTTTTCCCCCTCAATCCTTCAGTGAGACCTGGAAATATATGGCTGGACCTCCCTCCACTCACGACGCTGCCGCAGCCGATTGATGCCACTGGCACATCAGGTGTCCAGGGCTGGAATTGCTAGGGTGGCCCTCTTGAGACACACTGCACACATTAGCAGACAACTGGCTAATGCACTTAGCAAGTCCCTTTATAGACACCAGGCTTCACCTTGTTTCTGACTGTGTACCAAAGGTGTGAATTAATCAGTACTAGCATGCAGTCTAACATGTTTTATTGATCAATTGATGATGCTCCAGAAACCTACATCAAATCGAGACTCAAAAAGGAAACACAAAGGACCTGTGCTATTTTTTTGTGCATTTAATAACCCCGTTCCTGTTAGATCCAAACGCAACCTCTTTTTGTGAAGTGACTCTATCCTGAAGCTTTTGAAAAGCCAGAGAAAGCAGCTTTCTTGTTCTTCTAGTTTCGGTAACAAGAGGAAAAGTTTTCTCCACCTTCAAGACACGCCACCAAAAATGTCAAAATAAAATCAACAAAACGTACATTTAGGCTGGATTCCATGCAAAAGGAATTATACCCTCACAGCTGTTGTTCACTGGAGTTAGTGCTGCAGCTACAGCACCCTGCCTACAGTTGGAAGGTGCTTTTACATGCAATTAGCGTCAAGCTCGTTGGAACAGCCTCGCTGCCTGACAGCTCTCGTCATCCCACGGACAGGAGCAACTGAGGAGCTTCAATCAGCCGTGTCTGTCGGGTGAGCTGAGGTGGTGGAAGAGTGGGCATGCTTTAATGGGGCAGGTGTGTAGGGAAGGAATGCTGTTCTTTATTCAGAGACCAATTATTGCAGGCATCAGCTGGCATTCATAGGACGTTTCCAGCCCCACAGTGAAAGCACAAATAGAAAAGCAACTATGGCTGGGACGGAGAATATTAACCAGAGCACCCCAGTCCTGGTGCAAGCCAGAATTCCTTTGATACACAAGTGCAAAAACTACTACTCCTTTCGAAAATAAAAAGAGAAGTTTCAGTGTTCAGTCAGATTTAAATCAAGGCACAAATGATGGGATTATCCTGAAACTTCCTGGCAAATGTCTAAAGTATGGGTGGAGTTAAAAATGTACTCAGTGTTTCAAGGGGTTCCGAGCTTCCTGTGGGACAGTCTGTGCTGCCAGGAAGTCCATCACTTAACTATTCAGCTCCTCCAAGCTGGGCAGGAACAGGATCAAAGTTGGACCATACAATTCTGGGAATATCTGTGACATGTGCAGAACACCAACAACGGACACAGCAGACACAGTTTCTCTGGCTACCATAGTGGTACAAAGATTTTGGTAAACTCCAGAGGCATATTTTCAACTGTGAGCTAAGACCACCAAGAAGAGGTTGTAAGAGAGTTTTCTTTTGACTGCTAAAAACAAAGAAAATAAAATCAAAAGCTCTCAAAGCAAGTGGCCAATAGTGTGTAGCATCTTGAACAAAGCACCAGCATTATCCATTCTAAAAGAGGTCTAAACCTTAACCACAAGGGAAAAAAACCCCAAAACTCAACAAACCCACAAAAAAACTCCCAAAGCAAGTCAACCTATATAGAATATACCTGGAGGCAGATGCTCATTGATATAGTCTGTAGTAGCTTTACTGACTTTGCTGTTAAAATGGATGTGACATAAGAACTCCTCTAAATTGCAGCACTTACTTAAGATACCTGACAGCTTTCATGAACTTTAGATCTGCTTTTACTGGATGCATTTACAGAAGTCAGAAAAATTCAGATTTTGTAGGAAAAAAAATGTTTTCATAGCTGTGATTTTAATTTCACTGTTATAAAACATTAAGTGTTGGAAGATGTCTTTTTTGTAGTTTTCCTAAGATTGCAAATATTCTGTACACTATATTGAATTTTAGCAGATATTAAATACATTATAAAAAAAATATTCTTTCTCCTACACATTTCTCAAGCAAACATCCTTGACAATTTCTGCTGGCTATAATCTGCATTAGATTTTCTAGATGGTCTTTTACTTTGGTCTAATACATTAGTCCTAAATATCATAAAATAAAGTGGATAATCCAAATCTCCTACAAAGGAAATGAAAATATTAACGGGGAAAAAAACCTCACTGCTTAATTTTTTATGGAATAGCTCTTCTCCAAAAAGGTGGTGATAAAACCAATTCTTTTTTAAATTCAATTTATTTGGTGTTTTTATCTAGTCAGTCACATTGACTGATGCTAAGGGTAGAAATTGAGACAAGGAGGGAAGATGTTTTGATTTCTGTTAGACCAAAAGATCAAGGTAATTGTGATGGGAAACTGGAAAATGAGCTGGAATCCCTTCTGTCTGGCATGTTAATGGCAGGTTTGTTAACAAAATGACAAGCACAAGGCTATCAGCTCAACGCAGCTCTCTCAGTTCTGCTCTCAGCCACATATGTGCAACTCCAGGCTCCAGTGATTCACATGGAACTGGAAACAGAGCTCGGCTTCAGGAGCCTGAGCTGCTGCTGACAATGTAAGACAGAAATTGTGCAACTGGACTTTAAGGTCCCAAGTCAGCCTGCACAGCTAGAAACACTAAATCCAGCTATAATGTTTCTGAACAACATGGGGTCTTTTCCAAGTCTCTAGAGCAGAGAGTGTATTTTCTCTGCGCTGTTTACAAAGCATGTAGCACAAAATGGGATATCAATCCCCAAACAAAGCCTCTAAACTCACAGAATTAACAGAACTGAAAAGTAGTTTTCATGAGGTTATATCTAATGTAGTTCATGGATGCAGCCACACTCAAACTTGTTACAGTATAGCTGGTTTTTTCCCCTTTTCTAATAGGAAAATTCAATTGACATAGAGCAAATGATGGATTAACAATACTGTTACAGCCACTGACAGTGTACTGTGTCCAGGTGTTTCCTAAAAACTGTGGAATTAGAAGTAACTCTACAGCACCCCAGACAACTTCAGAAGGTACAGCAAATCCAACATATTGATAAGAGGGGAAAAAAAAGAATTAATAAAAAAATCCAGTTTCTTTCAACAATTTTTTGGCCAACTTGATCACTCCTTACATAAAGACTCCACATTCTATGCCTAAAGGAAGTATCTAAATTGAGATTTTTAAGCTTAATCCATACTTTGTCAAGTGACACAAGATAATGGTTGAGTAAACTACTTTAAAGTAGTATTAGTTTAAAAGCTACAAGGTTGTAAAAGGTACATAAATTCATAAACTTAGATCTCATTTCATGTTATTTTCCAATGTAATTTAGCTGTCCAATGAAGCTGCTTCCATATTCAGCAATATTAGAAAGATCTTAACAATTACTTCACAAAGATGTAGAAAATACCATCTGAGTATGAAGCTCATAAAGAGCTTCAGCAATATTCAAAAACTGCTTTCAAATAACTTGACATAATTGGACATACACTGAAATATTTAATAACCAAACAAGACTTTGAAGAGAATCACAAAGCAACGCTATTCTATCACGGTGACCTCAATTATTGCTCAGGCCAGAAGAAAAGCTACAAATGAACAGTGAGATGAAGCACTCTACCACACACATTTTTGTCAATAACTTCTGAAGTTGTGAACACTGGCAGCATGAGAAAATACCCAGAAAAATATATTATTAGAGTTATAAGCATAAGCAGAGGTTCTGTTATAACTAGAGGCAGCTTTAATTGATGAAGCACCTTGAACACAAGCATGGTTACAGCACTAGACTTCTCAATTTTATGTAATATAGGAATTCAGCCTAAAAAGACTTCTTCATCCCTCCTTCTAGATTTCTTAGAAGTACTTTATACACGTTGAGTATCATATCTAATCATTAGACAGAGGTGAAAACCTGCATGTTCACACAGATAACATACATCTCTTAAAAGCTAAACAGGTAGTCAGAAGACTAGATTTTCACCGAAATACTGAGATCACCTAATGAGGTTTGGTGTTTTTCTTCTGGATGGGAAGGTCAGATATTGTAATTTTTCAACTTGTGGCATCATTATCTGGATGGCAATTAAATTCTCTTCCTGAGGTAGCTTTTTTCGAAGACCACGTAAATGTGTGTCACAAATAGATTCACACTGATGAACAAACTTAGAGAAAACATTTGGAAATAATTTGAATTCTGCTCCCAGGTGAAAAAAAATATACAAGCAGCTGCCAAAATCAGGATGGCTTTCAACCTTATCATGACTTCAGCTCTGGATAAAAGAATATGCATACCAAACTAAAAGTTTACTTATTTAGTAAACTGACAGCTTTATATCACATCCATCATTGCCATGTCTGTGTACTCCTACCCTGTAATTTGTGACCACAAAAACCTATTCATCTCCCACACAGGAAAACCTAACAATGTATGTCCAGTTCACTTCAGTCACCAATACAAACTCTCTTTGAATCTAGCCCTGTATTCCTCCTCTGAGTTCTCCTTCATGTAATCCCAGGCAACAGACCCTCAAGCCTGCACATGCCTTTTGTGTACTAAATAACTGATCTCTGCTCTGTGCAACTTGCACTTAACAGTGGTTTGTTCCATGAAATCCGAAGCATGATAACCACAGTCATGTCAGAAATTGCTGCAAGACGGGTTTCTTCAGACATAACTGCAATTCTGCTCAACTCCAGCTTAGTGGTCTTTTTTGAGTCTTAGTGACAGATCACTGTCCAGCTCACTTTGTACCCAAAGAACACTAATATGTGTCCTCAGCAGGCTGCAGCTCCTGGAGGGGTATCTGCTTTGTAGACCATAGCGAAGACCCTAACAAAGATACAGCACAGGAAGGTGTATGCATAGTCTTGCTGCCAGCTGGTAAAGGTCTTGGTCCATCACGCTGCCTTATTTAAAACCTCTCAATCATCCAGTCCCCATGTTCCGGCAATTTCTGAGGCCATACCTGAATTTACAAATAGCCACTCTGAAAGAAACAAACGTCTGCAGCAATGCACATCCTCCAGAAGTCAAAACGTTTGTAAAGCTGCACAGATTTAAGAGCAGAAGGATGAAGATGGTAAATACTGTAAAAGAGGTCAAAAGATTACAGCAAATGAAACCAGGATATCAGCCCTGAAGACACAGATGCAGAAACATGGATTTTTTGGTTCAATTCTGACTGCTAATTGAAGGAAGGCCAAAATCAGAAAACATGATCTATTAGCAAGATGACTGTATTTCCTTAACTAAACTCAGATACCAGGGGTCCATTATGAAGTCGTCCAACCAACCAGGATATTATGGCACTGCATTATACAACTAAATGGAAAATTCATTCCAAGACAATGATGTGTTTACCTTCACGTGGAGATTAGTTATAGGAGCACTGTCAGCACTTAAGGCAAACCATTCACAGTACATTAAGGAGGCAATTAGAGTAAAAACCATCTTCAGCATTATTGTTCTTACTAATTAGTAGTAGTCTACAGACACCAGAACATCAATAATAATATGAACAGTCAATTTGTACCCTCAATTTTCAGGAGAAAGAAAACAACTAAAATACATGTTTTTGTCAAGAATTGAAACATGTATATTTAACAAGGTATCGTCTACATTAACAGCCCCTTGGGCTTTCTACAAAACTGTTCAAATAATTAGGCTTTCACTCGCTAGTTTTTTAACTCTTTACACAAAATCCTCTAAAGGCACAGAAGGAACAGACCTGAATTTTCAAAGCACATTCCGCATGTCCAGCCTGACACGACTTTCAACAGCATTCTTTTAAAAACAAATGCAACCCTCTGTCAAGAATTAGTTAAATAGGTTTTATTCAGCTCAGAGCCCCAGATTATCAACGACTACTGGGGGAGGGACCATTTTCTTCAAGGACTGATGTGGTGATTTGGGGAAGACACAAAGACAGCATGTGCATATAGAGAGGTTTAGGGTCCTTGCCAAAGGGTGGGGACTCACCTTCCCACTGGCCAGTCAGCACCAGACTCCTGCTAATGACAATGTCAATCTCTCTGGCACCATATTCCACAGCCAGCTTTATTTCAGCCAGTTTGGTTTCTAGAGGAGTTTGTCCAGATGGAAACCCAGCAGCCACTAGCGTGAAAGAGGATGCAGGCAGAGGGAAGAAATGTTTTAGAAATGTTTTAAAGTTTTATAAAATAACCATAAGATTGCATATACCTCTAATACACCAAAAAGTTTGAAAGTTATTCTGTTTTTTACGCCTACCATGATTCAAAAAAATCTAAAGGCACTTCATCCTACCCCCTCTTCACCCACAAGAAGCATTAGCTCTACCCTCAAAATCCAGTGTCCAGCAAGACACTAAGTGCATCTTGTGAAAAGACCTTTCACATCTTAAAATTTTTCCAGAGCAGCCTACATAAAAAGCAAAATATCTATTGCCTCCAGCAGAACTAAGCAAACAAGAAGTGAACTCAGATATGAAGTAATACATACATTTTTAATTCTCTCCAATTCTTTTAAGCAGTATCTAAAGTTAAATCAGAGTAATATCGTTTAACAGCTAAACCACGATACAGCAAAAATTGCTTTCAATGAGATCTACTTAGGATTATGTTTATGATGTTTAAGTACAAAACCCAAAGGTAATTTTGGAAATGGAAAAAACAATGGCTTTTTCAGAGATTGTCTTTCTCTGACATATAAATGCATTTAGTATGTATTTTTCCCACACACAATGAAACAACAAAAAATATTCTCCAGAAAACATGGGTCTTAGCCTTAAACACCCAATCTAACTTCAAAGTTAGCCCCTGCTTTGAGCAAGAGGTTGGAACAGGTGGCATCCAGAGCTCCCTTCCAACCTGCATAATTCCTTGATTCTACTTCTGGCTTATTGTGGATTCAGGACATGTCTCTCCTGTGTGGTGACTGGAGAAGAGCTGGCACTGTCAGAGAGTTGTATGTAAAGGCTCTGAACCTGTAGGCTGCCCAGCAGTCAACAGCCCTCAGCTCTGCACAGATTTAGGATGAGCTGGTTTGGGCTGGGATAGAGTTATCCCCACAGGAGCTGGTACGGGGTTGTGTTTTGGATTTGTTCTGGAAACAGTGTTGGTATTACAAGGATGTTTTGGTTGCTGCTGAGGAAGGGCTTGCACAGAGTCAAGGTCTTTTCTGCCTCTCACCCCACCCCACCAGCGAGTGGGCTGGGGGTGCACAAAAAAACTGGGAGGAGACACAGGCAGGACAGCAGACCCCAACTGCCCAAAGGGATATGCATTCCACATGGCATCATATCCAGCATATAAATCAGGGTTAAATTTGGCTGGGGGCTACTGCTTGTGCTGAGCAACTCTTCTATGTTTGTGTCACTTGTCTCACTTGTGGTTTTTTTCTCTTTTTTTTGTTGCTATTTTCCTTTTCATTGCATTTATTACCATTAGTACTATTAATTGTATTTTATTTGAATTATGAAACTGTTCTTATCTGAACTCCCAGATTTTCTCACTTTTACCCTTCCAATTCTCCTTCCCTCCCCATCCTGGGAGGGGGTGTGTGAGCGAGCAGCTCTGTTGCTTAGTTGCTGGCTATGGTTAAACTTGAGATAGGATTACACTTAAAAGCCAAACAACTGATAGAGAAAATAAGCTTTATATTAGAACTCCTATTATTATCATCATCATCTTCATCTACTAAGTGTACACTGATACTTGTCCAGCATACTATCTCAATTTTTTCTATTCAGGCGAGGAAAACACTGATATATTTTAAAGACTTTTTTGAAGAGCATCCAGCAAAACAGACTTGGCATTCCTGATAAGCTTGAAGTTGAAAGAAAACAAAAGATTAGACCAGAAGAAAATCCTCCCCTCCATTCCCATCCTTCCACCTGTTACTTTTTCACCTTACTCCCTGACACAGAAGCAAACCCAAACTTCTGGATTTTTCCACATATTTTATAACATCAAAATATTTAACTGTGTATTTTTGAATAAAGCTTACCTGAAGCTACTGGTATGTTACAACCAGCAGCCTTTAGGGCCTTAACAGCATCGGTGACTCTTGCAGGATATACACAAACTGCTCCAACAGTAATTCCTGCAAAAGCCACAGTTCAGTTTTTCAGACACAGAATTCTGCCTTCCCCAGTGCACTCCATATTATGAGCACATGTGCATTGTTCTCATCTCCCCCTTCTGCATTCTCACAAGGGTCTTAAGCACCTGCACCAGGGATGTCTGTTCTATTGCTCAAACAGTTCAGGTAATTCTCCCTATTGTTTCCTCCCTCGTGTTCCTTCACCTGACCCTCGGAGCAAGTCTACATCAGCAGGAGTTAGAACTCCAAGATATTTATCGACAGATTCACAGTTTAATGCCAACATGTACAGTTAAGACATGCTTAATCAGCAAATTACTGCAAGACAAACTGTTCTTACTTGTTGAGCCAGACTGAGGCCAGCAGCAACTGAGCAGTCTTTATGTTAATGCAAGTCCTACTGCATTTCTAGTTAAAATGCTATCCTCTAAAAGTCTCAGATAATTGACCTCATATTTAATACTTCCACTGTCTGAAGAGACCATAAATCCAAATTTAAAAAAGAGAACAATCTTTGATACTTTATGTATATGGCTTAGACCAGAGGCCTGGTTCCCCTTTGGTTCTACACCGTACGACTTTAATCAGTGGACCAGAGCCATTTCTGAAAACTGAAAAATAATGAGGAAATGCAGACATTTTCTCGACAAAATACACACAACAAAAGCTCCCATACCCTTATCGTGCATGTCCAAGGCTTTGAGCAGATCCTCTCTGATAGGATGCTTTGCTTTAAAACACAGTCTTTGAACATTTGAAGGAGTGTCATCGCCTGAAAGAGTGGTGAGGTCTATGCAGGTGACAGCTTTCAGCAGCCAAGCAGCCTACAAAGGGAGCAAAACAAGGAAGATAGTATTTCCACTTAAACTTCCAAAGCCAAACTGACTCAGAAGATGCAGGAATCGGAAGCCTGGCGCTCACTCTGACAATGAGGAAACACAGAGGATAAGACAGAGGATATACTAATAATGGCTTATGATAGACAGGGTTGGCAGATATTTATTCATGTCTTGAGCAGTATCTAATGATACAGAAAAGATTTGGAATCAAAAGTCCCCTCTCAGAACCAAAGGATCAAATTCCAATTTTTGGTGCAAAAGCTAACTACCAAATGGGGCTCTGTAAGAATCAGACATTTTTATCCGGAAAAAAAAAAAAAGCATCTTGTTTCTGTAAGACAAAGATAAAAACCACCTATGTGAGATACCTCACTGCCATAATATGCCTTGTGCTACACGGTATGTCTGTATCTTTTAAGGGTTGTATGCACAAGAAATTATACACATGCTTCAAGAGAAGCACAGGTTTGCAATCGACAGCACACAGAGGAGTTCACACATCAGCAATTTGCACACTTGCATGCTTATCCTGCTGTGAGAGTGAAATGTGGAATTGGGGGGGTTAAGAACCCCACCTTCTTCAAACTTAGGGTCTAGACTCCAGATGTTTCCACTTTCTTTCGTGTGAATTAGGAATAAAAAACAATTCTGTAATTATTTGGTGCAAAGTTAAAAATCAAAAGCAAGAGCTAAGTGACAAGGCTAAAGCACTCTTTATATGAAAATGCTACAGAATTTTAAAATAGTTATTAATCAAAGAATGGAACAGAAGCACAATTAAAAATTTTATGAGCTTTTTTGCTGAACAAAAGTTGAGCTTAACAGATTATTTTGAAATATTTGTTGAAGGTCTTCCAGCAAATGCTCATTTACAGTGATGGCTTCACTAAAAGCTGACATCTCTTTCTGGGCACTTGTACAAGGGGAGAGTTTGCAACAGCAAAGTCCATAAAGCCCCTCTTTGATTGCTCTGCTCTGTGACACGATTTGTCAGTGCAGGCAGCTAAGCTTGTTTCTGCATGAAGGTATTACTCTGAAAATCTTCCATGGCTGGCCTGCCTACAAAACTTTCACACTTCGCTGATGGGAGTCTCCTTTCGGCACCTGCAGCAAATGTGACACTGAAACCTGCTTTGGGGTGACTCAACAGAGTAATGAACCATCACTGGCCTCTGTCAGTCTAAGCTTGACTGCTTTCTAACTGATTTCTCCTTTCACCCTCTAATACATCAAAGGGGTTTTTCACTTTAAATAGTTTTGTGTTTCTTCTACTTGGATTTTTTTATCCTTCGTTCCAGGGAATTTTTGTCTCATCTCTTACGACATGAATCATAAACTGATCAAGACAGATGTAGTCAGGGAGTTCCAATAACTTTGGGGGTTTTTTAAAGGGTTTTCCAAATGTGTATTTTGGGCAATGGGCTGCAGAATTCGAATCAGTGATGCTCCTTACATTCAAACACGCAACGGTTCAAAATCATCTCTGAAATAAATAGCACATGACTATCCTGCAATGACAGTGTTCAAATACAGGAGAGATGCTTCTGACATTCTTCAAAGTAAAACCTTGCTGAAGTACCAATGTTTCTACACAGGAGGGTGGAGAAATGTTAGTAATAAATATTTTTCCTCCAGCTGTGTTGTGGGAGTGACACTAAATCCCTTTCTTCCAAATGATTCTTTGTATTGAAAGCCTGTGGCTCTCTCTGTACAGTAAGTGTGGTCAAATCAGACTCTCTTTTTACACTACTGCAGCTGCAGTATCTGAGGATAACCAAGATTATGAAACACCCTCTCGATTTTCTCCCTGACACTATTTCCCAACTCAGAACCACTGGACTGATTACCTTGGTATCAAGTAACTTTTTTGTGCACAAGAAACTTTTAAGAAATGCTGAGCTGGTGTCCAACTTTCCTCAGTTTATGTCCATTTTTTTTATTTAATCATAACACACAAAGCACAAACTTTCAGGACGGAAAAAGAGGCAGGAAGATTTTTTTTCTATCACCTCCCAGTAGGATCTTACAGCTACATCAACTTATCCCCAAACTGTCATCCCCAAGATCTGTGCTCATTGTGAACACAGCTTCAGCCACTCCAGAATGGCTGCACAACACGCTTGGGCTCAGGATGTCAACTATTTTGAGCAATTTTTTTCCAAGAATTAAATGTAATTAAATGATTCTTGCTTTGTTCTATTATGTCCCACTGTTAAGACTCATCCTTCGCTGACTCCTTCCTCCTGCTTCCAGGTTTTCAGTTACTGCTGCACACAAACCACTTGTTTAGTGAGCAGTGGGGAGGAATCCCATGAATCTTCCTGCAGAACAGCTGTTTGGTGAATGAAGAATCAGTCTGTCTTTTGGACACCAGCTACAACCCAGGGGCTGGGAGCTCACTGGTTGCTCCAGCTCTGCTGCACAGCATTTCCCAGACCTCGCCCTTGGCCGAATGCTGCTGCCAAACCACTCAGAGCATCCTGCAGCCAGTTCTGCTTGCCATTCCCCTCTCAGCACTTCCCATCCTGCCACTGAGGGGGCAGAAGCCAGCACGTGGCTGTGCCTCACCTGTCCTGCACTGCAGAACACATCAGCCTACACTGGTGACTGAGTGGCTCTGTGTAATGTATAAACTGGAGAAACCAAAATGCACACCAGGCCAGTATCTGTCAATTCTGCCAGGAGGGCAGCAACCAGCAGAGGTTGAGGGTAACTGCCAAGACACTCTAAACGTGTATTCAATGAATTCAAGTCAGCCCTGAAGAGAAGTTCATTTGCACCACTGGCTCTAGTGATGCTTTACATGAACTTATTTTATAGTAAGGTGGAAAATAACCCACCATTTACCTTATCTCAGCAGTTGAAAAGTCAGTCCCCCTAATACTAGTGGGCTCCTTCCCCCCTCCAAATGCCACAGCCAGTCAGTATTTTTTTCTTAATTTTAGGTAAAAACTAGTTAAGCAATGAAATCACACACGTTGGGAATGTTTAAGTAAAGAAAAATCATCCAGGTAGGTCAAACTTGACAGGGACCACGATCATATCTTACAGCTCTAAAATTAAAAAAAATAAGACGGCAGCATGCAGAGGAGTCTGTCTGGGAAACAGAATAAATGTGGTGGGATAGTAATATACAATTTAATCCACTCATGAATAAAGATGACTTAAATCCATTTGCGGTTTTGCCACTCATGAGTTATAAGGTTTTTAACTTGTTTGGATAAATGCGTCACCTTATTCCATCCCATCATCATCAAATACAAATTATTAAAATAAGACATGGACAAGCACATCTTTTAAGTTTACATGTATCTTGAAAAAAATTCAATATTACAGCCTGGAGAGGGAGAGCGACTGCTTTAAAAATACAGGAACAGAATGCATAAGAAGAGCACTTACTTGCCAATTACCTTTCAAAGTTTTCCATTTTTTAATTTCTTCTGCATGCCTCACAACTGCAGGTCGATTCACATACACTTTTGAGATCCAGCCAAGTTCTGTGAGGAAAAACAAACAAAAAAAAGTCTTACCTATTTCTGTGTTCTTATAATACATGGTGTGGTACTTTAGAAGAAAGTTGTAGCTTGGTTTGGAACCTCTGAAGAGCATGTTGTGCTTTCATGTCCTTTTAGGGACTTGTGTAGTTATCACCAGTCCAAAATAGCATTAACTTCTGTTAGAGTATGATCTGTGAACTGGATGTTTCACACAGCATGTTCTGTTTGCCATTACGACTGAATTAACTTAGCACTGATGAGAGACATCCTGTTGCCAGTCCTGGACTAAGTACATGCAGCATGAAAAAAAAACCCACCCACAAAACAGCCTTCTGCCTTTGCTTGCTGATTTACTTCTTAATTCTGAATAAATAGTAACACTTATTCAGCCCTTTGCTCGTCTGCTGGGTCCCAGGACACAACAGCATTTTTTGTGTGCCTGAACCTTTGTTTACAGACGGTGGACCCCACACGCTCAAAAAAAACCCTGAACAAACTCAGGCATAACAAAGCATTTAGGTTGTTATTGTCTGGAGCTAATGCTACTGAATTTGCTACTAGGGCCTGATTAACTGCAGGTTTCCAAAAGTACTGAATTCTGGGCAACACACCCTTCTGGAAGCAGCCCTAGAAGTGCTCACCTTGCCAAGTGCCTGGGAGGACTCAGGGCAGCATCTTCAACGTGTGAATTCCTTCAGGTGCCCACTGAAGGGAGACAACTCACAACTTCAGTGAGGTTCAGTATCCATGAACAATAACCCAAAGAGAAGCAGATGCTCAACATACTGTCTAAAACTAGCAGAACCACGTACTGGACTCTGCTTAATGAGGGCTAACAAAGGGTAACTGACTGAAAAAGGAGAACTGAGGGTTTCAGGCTCTTGAATCTTTAAATTTTTGCTTAGTGTGATAAACCAAAAGTGTAAATTTTTATTATTAATATACATAAACTGCTCATGGGAGTACACAGGAAAAAGAAATCGGAATATCTTTAAAATCTCTCATATCCCAAAACACAAATATTTTTTCTAAATACTAATCATAGAAGCATTCCATGCAAATACTCTGAAAACAACATCAACAATCATTAACCACCAATCATCAGCAAATCACCCCCATCAATCATCAAATATCATCATCAGTTGAGGTCAGAATAGGGACATGGACATAGATACCAGGAGATAATAATTCTGGGTGACTGACTTTATTAAGAGCATGTTATCTCTATGAATCTTCTTTACCACCGCATTAAATTTGCATTTCCCTCGAGCATATTGATTTAAAAAAAGGTTTAAAACTTAAAAAAAAAAAAGCTGATAGCCAAAATCACTAATTTGGTACAGAAATCTTACCCTTGATAGCTTTAATAGCCAAAAAAAAGTAGAAAACTAATATAACTAGCCAAAGTATGTGTAAATAAAAGCTCATTTTCCTAGACTTACAAAAAGCCGCAGAGAAACCAATTTAGGGTAAAGATGACTCACTGGAAATGCAGAATAAGAGCATTAATAGCTAAATAAAATCTTGTTCTGAGCACAGTAAGCTACTGTGCTACCGCTTTCCTATTACTACATGCAAGATATTAATGAGTGGTGTCTACAAGGTCAAAATGTTGGCTAAAAGCAGAAAAAGTAAATCAATGACGGAATTTCAAAGGAATCCTAAAGAATTTATGGATTTCTTTAGAATTTAGCATCAGACCCACTGCATAGGAACAAGGAAAAGGAGTGGTTTGCAACTCTGCAAACAACTCTTTGTTACTTCTCTGTGTTTTCAAAGCTACAGGCTGATCCATTCTGCCCCAAAAGCAGGAAGCTCAGCTGACATGTGCAAAGCAGGTGAGAAAAGCTATTGCTACAAAAGCTGTGGCTGGAATTTTCCTCCTTTTTGCCTATCAATAAATGCAAACTATACAGGCAGCTGAAACATAGACTAGCAAAACCTCTGCATCCCCTGCAGTTGCCTTAAGCTTGAAGTTCCTGCAGTGCCCACACACCACTTCCCATGGGGCCACTACAGGGAATACTGACAAAGTCCATGAGGGAGGAAAGCACAACTAACCAACCAACAAAATAAATAAAGAAATAAATAAATGCATACATACATAAATAAATGAATACATACATAAAAGTAGGAAACACAAACTCTGTGTTATGATTCTCCTACTATGTGCCAAGTACTTAGGTAGTATCATTTAATCATAATACCATTTATTGTTATAGCTTTGGAGCCCTACTGGGTGCACAGTAACCTTTCGGTCCCTTGGGAAAATGTGATAAAATCAAAGAAAAAAGTTTAGATGAAGAAAATCCGCTTCTCATTCTCTATAAGGATCCTTTCAGTTAGCCTGTTCTTTCTACATTACTAAAGACAACCAATAAATACAACTAACAATTAGTTTATAAAAAATTCCAGCCTTCTGTAGAAGAGTTTGGGAGAATATGAAGGCAGTGTCCAGTCTGCTGCATAGGGAAAATTCAAGTTTGAGATGAAAATTTAAATGAAAGAACATAAATCTCCCCCATGAGGTTAACTCTGCATTAGTCATTATTTGCAGAGGATTCAGGATTCATCACGTGCTGGATTGGGTAGAAACACACATAGAGGTGTTGTATCTACCCCACCTGACTTTTGAGCTACTCAGAAGGTCTGAGGAATCCTTTCAGAACACAGAGCACTGCACACTAGATTACCTTAAAGGAAAAAGTATTGTGCCATTTGGAGAAAGAAAAAAAAAAAGAAAAAAAAAAAAAAAAAAGAAAAAGTAAACCAGTGGAAGAAAAGATGTGGAAGAAGTGAAATAAGTTACTACTTTTGCTTTGACCAAAGTCACCTGTGAAAATTACCAAATATCAGCTGATCAGCAATAGCTGACCAAATGTTCTTTGCAAATATGATGAAATTCATTGGCTTAAGCCCCTTTCACTGTGTAACACATTTTTCCTTCTGTGTTCAGTAAGTCAAGGCTAGCCACGAAGGTAACTCACACATGGCAACTCAGTGACGTCTAATATCTAATTTTGGTGCCCGAGACACAAGTTTCCTTGAAAGATCATAGAATTTGGACCTCCAAGTATTTTTCTGAATGTGGGATCTCTAACCACTGCGCACAGCAAAGGCAGAAAAGATAAAAAAAACCATTAAATAATTTTACAAAATCAGAACTCCATCCTTTTTGTACAGCCTAATGCGAGACAGTGTGCGGCCTACTACAGGAAATAAAATGGTGTCATAAAAATTGCACAGCACAAGGAAGGACAAAGGTTCTGGTAATATGCAGCAGCAGATGGAGACTTCCATCTAACACAGACCTTTTATTCAAGCCCATTTCTACATTAATTAAAGCAATGGGCAAGTGAAAACAAATATGTCTCAGTGTAATCGTCTCAAAATAGACTTTCAAAGTTTGCCATGTGAGGTCTCATCAAATCTTTAGATGTAAGTATCTCTATTCAGCAAAACCAATCACAATTCCAGCAATTTTTTTTCCCATTAAAAATCAGAATAAAACCATTATTTGAAATAGAACTGACTGCCTTTGGATTCTTGCCCTCCCTCACTCCCCCAAGCTTTATGATTTAGTATCTGGCTAAGGAAAACTATATTTAATTAGGCTCATTAACCTTGCAGTGTGAACACGTCTTTTTTTTTTTTTTAAATAAGTCATCTGCTAGTCATCTGCACAGTCATGTGGCTTCAGGGATAAAAGTAATTAAAGCAGTTACACTACAGCTAATTAGCCAATATTCTGTAATCACTCTTCAAGTTTACTTTTTTCTCTGAAGACATTTGAAGAAATCATATTCAATTTCTTAGCAGGAAATTCATCTCCTCTCTTTGAAGAACACAAACCCAAAAATACCAAGCATTTCCTCAGAAAACAATAAACAAAAACACTTCATTAGGATAATTACATAAATATCTAAGGTACCTAACACATTCTTCATAAAACCAACTAAGCTTTCCAAAAGCTTTAAAAAAAAATGTGTCGATGGCATCCCTTCAGATGGTGAAACAGAAAGCTCAAAAATGCCTGAGGCAGTAGTTTCACAAGCATTTTAAGGCAGCACTGTCCCCAAAAGAAGCTGCATCCCAACTGATTATTTCCTTCTCTGTGCCAGAAACAGCATGTGTGCTCCTGCTCTTACCATGAAGACAGGATAAAACGAGTAAGGGAAGTGATGAAAGCTGTTATTTCTGGAGAAGCGAGTGAAACTGCGTCCTGAACCCGCAGTGGAAGACGAGGTAATTCAGCTGGACACAGGCTGACCCCAGCTGGCCATGCAGAGCTGAGCAAAGCCACTGAAGACAGAGAAAAGGCTTCAGGATCAGGTCTTGTTACAGTTGTCTTACCATGTAAGCTTTTTAGAGGTTTGGGGGTTATTCAGTTTCGTGGAGGCAGAAGCTTTAATTATTTTTCCGTAGTGACACTTGCTATGGACCAACAGGTCCATAATTTTGGATGTTTTTTTCTTTACACGAAAGAAGTTCAGCCCCAAAGCCATCTGCATTCAGATACTCGATGCAGGACATGAAAGAACAAGCCCTGAACTAGAAATCAGCTCTACTATCTTGTGACATTACTGAAATCACACAGTGGATCCTGGTATCCTCCAAAGCACTTTGAAAAACACTGACAAGTCTTTCCTCAGAAAGAAAGCTGCAGATATAGGGGCCTGGTTTCCTGCAGATCCAAGTCCCCTGTTGTTCCTTCTCTTCTTCCCGGGCTTGAGACCTCTCCTCACTCCAATAACTCAGCTGTCCTGACATAGTCCTACAACCATGGACTAAAGCAGGATGTTGTTACTTGCATAAAGCCCAAACAAACAACTCGCAATGAAAATTCATGTGAATGCTGATCTGTGCTTGCCTTTCTCTCTACAGAGGATGAAAATTCACGTAAATGCTGATCTGTTCTTGCCTTTCTCTCAACAGAGGGACTAATTTGGTCACTCCACCCAGCGCCTTACTTATTTCAGAGACATCTACCTGTCCTTCAAATTTGACTAAAATTATCCAGCAGATTCAAAAGGTGTTAGAAAGGAACAGTGAAGAACCAGAGCCACAGTACAGGCTAAAACCAGCTATTAATATATTAGAACAGAATTATGCTGTCTTGAAAGGGATGCAACACTTCATTATCTAAATGCCACTTACCAACAGGCTAGCTCTCACATGTAAATGGCTCAGAAATACCAGCTATAATTAAAAATATCAATTGAAACATAATGAATGTATTTCTGGCCCTTCAATTAGAGGGTCTGAGCAACACAGATAGATTTTGGGTTTTTTAGATCCAAGAACATTGCAAAACAACAGTAACTAATTACTCATTGCTCAGAATACACAGACATACATGTATATACATATATACACAGACATACATACACACACAGAGGTAAAAAAACATATAGAATAATTTGAGCTGGAAGGTTTCTGAAGGTCGCTTGTCCAAACTCCTGTGCAATGCAGCATCAGCACTGAGCTCAGGCTGCTGAGGGCTTTGCTCAATGAGGTTTTGAGTGTCCTCAAAGATGCAGACTGCACAGCCTCTCTGGGCAACCTGTGCCACCACTGGACTCTTCCGTATGAAAAAGTTTTTCCTTATATCCAGTATGAACTTCTCTGGCTGCTGTCTTACTTCATCTCATCAAGCAATGCTGTGAAGAGCACAGCTCTGCCTTCTAGATGCACTCCCTGCAGGGATGAGCTGGCAGCTGTCAGGACCCCCAAAAGCCATTGCTTCCCCGGGCTGAACCCACCCAGCTCCATCAGCATTTCCTCACAGGGCAAGTGCTCCAGCCCTGGACCCACTGTGGTGTCCCTCTGCTGAAGGGTGACAAGTCATCAATCTCTTTTTCCTATTGGGAAGCAAGAAAACTGGACACAGTCTTCCAGGGCTGCTCTAACAAGTGCTGGGCAGAAGGGACAGTCCCTCTCTCCCCATGAACTACTGTCCATGTCCCCACTGGAACATCCCAGGAGGCCCCGTGTGGCTGCTGGGACTTGTCCTTCCCGGGGCAGGGCTCTGTCTCTGGGCCTGCTGGACATCTGTTGACCCATTTTCTCAGCCAGTTTGGGTCCCTCTAAACAATCTGGCTAATTCAGTCTCACTTGCAAACTTTATGCAAACTTTTTGCAAACAAGCCACTGCCCCTTCAAAGTCACTGAAAAGAATGTTAAACAGGACAAGTCCCAGGCTAGATGCCTGTAATGCCCTGCTTGGTACCAGCCCCAAAGCAGAGTATTGACCATCATCTTCTCAGCCCAACCAGCAGACCAGGTTTTCAACTATTTCAGTACCTGTTCATCCAAATGTCTCAACTTGGATACAAAATACTGCAAGACAGTGTAAAAAGCCTTGCTGAAGTAGAATTAAATGACATCCACTGCTCTCCCCTTGTCAACATATCCAGTCATTTTACTGTGGAAGGCAATTAGGTTGGTCAGGCCATTTACCCTTTTACCAGAATAACAAATGATAAATACAGAAGATAACACTGCCTGGTTTTAAACTTTCTATTTTGCCATTTTCTGCCCCTAATCAAGGTTACTAAATGTCTTTTTCCACGACTTCTGAAGTCGTCCCATCAAAACTGCACCTGCAGGGAACAGAAAACCCATATGTCTGCATCCCCAAACCAAAGAAGTATGGTACTAGCTTACACATATAAATCAGATACTCATCGACATGTTTCACTATTTTGTTGTGAAGTGGCATTAAAAAGTGGCATCTGATAGTTCTCTGAAATATGACAAAACATGAGACGTCTGGACTATTATAACCGAGCAACCTTGTGAGCAGAGCAGGAGAGGCAGACTCCTTTCAGGCCCTGCAGGCATCGTGGTGAACCCCAGTACAAAAGAATGACTCCATAAACAGTCCCCGTGGAATGAAAAACTTGTAAAATTCTTTATCTGGCTTCTTTACACGACTTTGTGATGGCAAATGTATCAGTGTATTAGGCTAGTGACCCTCTGACTGTGCACATCAGTGTCTTCATCTGTGGAACACATACCTGTTCTTTATCCCAAGCAAACACGTTCTTCTACAAATGCACAGTGATGGGAAGGAGGGAAGAATTTAAGGGCTTTTACAAAAATATATTTATTTTACAAAAAAAAAAAACCAAACACATGGAAAAGCACTGCATTCCATGATTTCTGAAGAGCTTGGCTTGTTGATAAACAAATAGATGTTTTCTGACGGCAGGATCAGAAATTTACTGCTTAAATAATGACATGTAGCAAGCACAGAAATAGACACAGAAAAGGACTCAAATAATATATTTTTAAGTAAAATATATTTTACCACTAGATGTCCCTGTTAGAAAACTATAATCCTACAAAATGCTGTGTGAGATACAGGACAAATCACTTGAATTACTGTTAAAGCTGCTGCCACAAGTTTGAAAAACCTTCAAAAACTGAAGTGCCTCTATCACAGCAGTGTGTATTGTCAGCAACCACGAAAGATAAAGGGTTTAACACATTCTTTTTGAATACTGCTACCAGCTAAGGTACAGCATTAAGTAGGATATGTTAAGTGGTGTATTAAGAATATTGCTGTATTTCAGATGTGTATTTAGCAGGAGAGTAAATGGCAGGGAGATTCAGTTCTCCCTTTAAAGCAGCTGCTAGAAGCTGCCACTTAAATGTGGCCACCACACCATTCCCCTACTACACCTGTCCCAAGCATCCAACTCAGCTCATTTTGACCACAACTGGTTTAAATAAAGATCACTGAGAAGGGATGGCAACAAGTATCTGCTGATAATCTGAGGGCACTGGCCTTTCCAGGTAAATCAGCTGCAGCTGGAAGAGGCCACATGGTGCAGCCCTGAAGACATCCATCGCTCTGTGCTCTCTGTTGATAATCTTGGGCATTAGTTGACTCTGCCTCTTAGGCAGGGAAGGGCTACTTAACAGGAGAAGACAGAGTTATAGAAAGTATTTGGAATATACTCAAAGATTATTTTACTGGGTGCAAAAAACCAGTGATTATGTTGTGCTGGTCAGCTGCACGTTGAACACTTTTCCCTTGACTGTGGCTGCACAGCAAGATCCAGCCAACGGTTAGTGAGGTTACCCATCTCTTCCAATAATTTCCCACTAGACAGTAGGATCTTCCTTGAGTGTATGCCTCTTGGAGGATGACTGCTTGATAAGAACTGAACTGGCTTCACATTCAAGTTTCTGAACTCCCCACACATACCAACAATTAACTGTAAGACTGAGTTTACAGTAAGAAAAAGCATGCAACACACCTAGTTTAAAATAACTGGAGTGTATTTGCAAACTTCAGTGCTAGCTTGTTTTCCTAAGAGACACAGAAGTTTTGTCACTATGTCATTAACGTGTTTGTTTCAGCAAAAAGATGCTGTTCAGGTGGCTACGGCTGAAACTCACCCCCCCCCTACAAAGAGCCCACAAACAAGCACATCAGAGAGCAATCAGACAGCTCACTTTTAGGAGTTGCAACACGTCCATGATTTCAGTGAATGAAAACGCAGTCGACTCTCACTTGTCCACAAGTTAATAATTTAAACTGCATGTTAATTCCGTAAAACGCGCCTGTGCTTGTTCTCGTGATAGGAGTGCAGCCACATGACACCACGTGCCTCCTGAACTCTGCTCGCACTTACAGATATCCCTGTCCCACACCAGCTTTGCTTCCCATCTTCCGTGATGCCACCCCTGTATCTCCTCCACTTAACTGTCCACTTACTCACGCTGACCAAATTATCACACCTTAAAGGCAGACTGTAGGAAGGCTCATCCCTTCAATTCATTCCACTGCTGCAGCTGTGTTTTGCTGGGTGGAGAAGTGAGAAAGCTGTAGCCCTTTTTCTTTTCCCAGAAACGAGCAGAAGAGAAATTCTCCTAATTGCTCCAGAGAAACCCTTTTTTGGCTGCTCTCTGCTTCACCCGAGGCAGAGCCAACTTTCGGGCTTGGAGACCACCTGGAAAATCCCTGTCACTCCTCAGAGAGCAAGCAACAAGGGGAATGATAAGAAGAGGTGAAGTCTCAGATTTGCAAATATGAATCCAACTCATCAAGTGTTTTGAATCCCTTGGGAAGAAGGAGAGTAGGGAGGATTACTCCGTGAGAACCAGCAAGGTGTGTGAGAGAGGACCAAGCCCAGCTTTGTGACAGGACTGGGGGCTGTGGAGCCCCGCAGCCCCGGCCGCCCCTACAACCTGTCACCCTGCTCGGAACCCTTCCAGCCAAAGTCCCGTGTGACACAGGGAGACCTCAACTTGTGTTCAACCTCCAGTAACAAAGGGAAAACCAGCCTCCTGCCGGCCTCCCGGTTACACGCCACTGGAATACCTTAGAAGACCTACAGGACTCGTAGGTCTGTTTTGTTTTTTTCGGACAGACAAGGCTGTGCAGCAGCCCGGCTCCTACACACCGAGGTGGGCCGGCGCCTCCAGCCACCCCCTCGCCCGCCCGCCCGCGCCCCGCGGCTGCCGCCGGGAGCCCCTCCCGAGAGCCCCGCAGGTCCCCCCGGGGAACCCTTACCCAGCTCGGTGCCCGGGTTTCGCCCCGCCATGGTTCTCCGCCGCCGACCCGGGCGGGGCGGGCAGAGCTCGGCCCCGCCCCGCGGGCAGGAAGCGGCGGCGGGTCCGGCCCGGCCTTGGGTGTTCTCCGCCACCGCCACGTGGGCGCCGAGCCCGGAGCTCTGGGCTCACCCAGCGAGCATCCTCCCCAGGGCGACAGCACGGCCCTTCGGCAGCGGGAGCTCCGGGGACATTCCTTTATGGATACATGGATATGCCATTCCCTTAGTGATACATAACGCCGAACATCCACTGGCCAGGTTATGTGACCAATACGTCTGTTCTAGAACAAGCAGCAGTCACAAGCATTGAGGCCATGCTCATGAGAACACAGCTGAGCTGGGCAGGGCACGTCTCCAGGATGAAGGACCACCGCCTCCCTAAGATCCTGCTTTATGGTGAACTTGCCACCGGCTGCCACAAAAGAGGAGCCCCGAAGAAAAGATACAAGGACTCCCTGAAACAACATCTCAGCCTTGGCCATATTGATCAACATAACTGGTCTACTCTGGCCTCCAGTTGGGAGGTCTGGAGACACACCATCTATAGCGCTGCTGTTTCCTTTGAGAATGCCCGCAGGGTCACTCTTGAGGAGAAAAGACAACGCAGAAAGAATCATGTCTTGCAGAATACACCATCTAAGGAGTCTTTCTGCTGTGCCTTTTGCAGTCGGATATGTCTATCTCGTATTGGCCTCATTAGCCACCAGCGTGCTTGTAATAAATGTGGATAGAGCCTTCCTTAATCTTCGTTCATGAAGCCCAGCCATGACATGACATGACGCCGAACCTGCCCGTTTCGGTGGCCACGAGTCAAGCCACTTTCCAGTTCCTTCATGTGGAATCTTCAGGGAAGAGCTAGTGCCACACATATGCATATGTATGCACACATATGAACTTGACCTGTAAAACTCAGGTACTGTCACTACTCACCTGTAGTGACACCTGCAAAAATAGAAGTCCGATGACAAAGCCACTGACAACTTCTTGGCTTTAATTTTTTTTTTTTTTCCCCAGAGCTATAAGGACACAAACTAGCACGAAAAAGAAGTATTAAACATTGTTAATCATAGAATCATAGAAGCAGCCAGGTTGGAAAGGACCTCCGAGATCCACTACCACCGTGGTTACCATGGCACTAAGTGGCACATCCAGGCTGATCTTAAAAGCCTCCAGGGACAGAGAATCCACCCCTTCCCTGGGCAGCCCGTTCCAGTGCCTGATTACCCTCTCTGTAAAGAATTTCTTCCTAATATCCAACCTAAACCTCCCCTGGCAGAGCTTAAGACCATGCCCTAATACTCTCATTTACATGAAACTTCTTCCAGCTTCAGCCCTACTTGCTCGGTGCTAACAAAGAAACCACAAACAACAGGATCAGGTAAAGCAGCAGAGTCACAGCTCTGAAAACCGAGGACACTTTTTTTGCGTTTCCCCTACCAAAACTACATGTGTGCTTTGAGAAGCAACTCTTCAAAGACAGTAGTCACTCTACAAGGAATATATACCATTTGCACTGTGTACTTTAGAATACATTAAAGCAGTGCAGAAGTTACAAGCTTTCATGTACTTTGGTTGTTTTGGGGTTTTTTTAATTTCTTGCAGTGTTTTGGTAGCAATTATTAGATATTAGGTCTGTCTCAGTATAGCTCTGTTTCATTTTGATTTCTTGTTTTAAACACATCCTTCAACTTGTAGAAGGAAGTTTCTAGGCTGAAGTACTAGACTGGGAGCCCTCAAAAGCCTTAGTGGAATTAATAAGGCAGAGACAATTAGCTGTAAATCAGAGGGTTGGAAGTTGCTAGTTTTTAAAATAAAATCCAGATAATTACAAAACTAATTTTGGAACAGAGTCTGTAAAATAATGCACCTTAACACCTCTGATGCACTAAGAAATCATAATTTACAGTATCACTTTGTGCTTTGTTCTTATTTCCTCCCCACCCAACAGGTGAAGCTGGAAGGGACCTCTGTCAACTACCCCTCCAAGCAGGTTCAGGTGCAGGAGGCTCCCAAGGGCCATGTCCAGTTGTGTTTTCAGTATCTTCAAGAATGGAGACTTCACAACCTCTGCCAGTGTTTGACTGGCCCTCACAAGTATTTTCTTATGTTCAGGTAGAACTGCCTATGTTTCAATTTATGTTCAAAGGTTAAGCTTCAGTTTTCTAAGATGACAGCACTACTGTACTCTTGGGAAAAAAAATCCAAAAGGACAGTAAGGACAAGTATGAATATTAAAATGTAAAAAGGCGTGTGAATAAATATACCTCTGTATAACTTTCTTCTTTCCATACAGAGTGCATTATGTAAAACTTTCAGCATAACATTAAAGGAAATGACAAGTGGAAGAACAGCAATTATTTTCTTTAATGAAGAAAATATGATTTGTAACCTTGAAAGAGTAACTTTTTTTATCCAGTCTGGATGACTAAACCCAAGCTTTATACAGATTCGCAGCCAACTTCTGAGATTTTCATGTACAACCAAATATTTCAGGCAGCACATTTAATTTAGGAGTTTTCGCTGTTTTTCATTTTAGAGACTCACGTTTACATTCAAACTTTAAAGAATAAAAAAAGACACAAAGCTTACAGATCAAAGAACTTGCCACCCTCTGTACCAACACTAAAACATTCTTTTGCTTTCCCTCTGTATAGTACAAAACCAAGCTGCTAGAAAGGATTACGTGATTAATTTGGTTGCTTTTCCATTTCACGAACCCAATGCTCAACAGTGACGTACGGGTTTTGAGAGGCATTTTATTTAGACAACTGAAAACAGTTAAACATTCAGAAGCAGCATACAATGAAACAAAACCCGAACCAAATACTTTTAAGTACATAATCCCTTCTTTTCAACTACAGCCAACTCTTCCAACTTTCAAGGAAATTAAAAAAAAAAAAAAAAAAAGGGGTAAAAGCCATTGTATCTCTTCTCCATAATAAAGAAAGCACACTACAATGAGTCTAATTGAAATTGGAGAGATTGGATCTTGGCTTGCACACTTCTTTGAAAAGACAGTAGGCAGTCATGCCAAAAAGACAGCAAAACTCTACTGCTTGTCTTTTGGGTTTTTATTTGGATACTCAGTTCTCATACAGACAACACCTAGCCAGTTCCACCGCATTCTCATCAATTACTGCCCATCTTTGCCTTACGTAGAGAGCTCACTCTGGAAGGCTGCTGTTTGTCACTGCTCACTTGATTTAGTCTTGTAGGTCCATGTGTCATGTAACAGTTGCAGTAATCAGGCCTTAACTTCAGGAGTTGAGCTGTACACTGTATCTGAGTTTTCAGAGGCAATCTCTTCTGCAACTAAATAAAAAGAACTTTATTTAACTTCACCTTAGATATATAAACCAAAGAAATGTTGCATGGGTGGCTTAAAGACCAGTTCAGTTTGTTTTCCCGTTCAGGCTGATCCAGCTATTCAACCCCATCTGTTCAGCCTGCACAGCTCCAGGCACCAGTCTGACACTTACCACGTGGTGATTTTCAGGAAAATGCATTGAAACACCTTTTGAAAAGAGTGAAAAATGCCAGAAGATACTCGAGGGAAACTACCTCTTCCACACCAAAGTATGCTATCATCCTGACTGATCTTTTAACACTTAGCTGAGTGGAAGCTGACAGTTCAATGCATTACCTATTTCCTCCTCTGCAGTTCCTGGAAGGGTGGCCCTTGCTTTTGCTGCTTCTGCATTCTCCTCTTCTGTAGAGGAGAAGAAAAAAAATAGTCAGTACCTTCAGTTCCACCCATTCACCTTAATAATAATAAAAAAGTAATTTCTACTTAATTTAGTGCTGAGAAGAGACATCCATTAATGAAGCAATTCCATTAATGAAACTCACTTGCAGTTATTGCTTCCCTCCCCCCAAGCTGAGAGAACCAAAGTACAATACAAAACTACCACCCATACTTCTTTCTAGAGATTATCCCTTTCAGAATTATGAAGGTGGTATTGCATGTTTCTTGCTCATTCACATAAAAATACATCAGACTATTTCCTTAAATATCCACAAAGTGTCTATATACAAAAAGCTTACAGGGTTAATTGCTTACATTACAGCTACAAAGGTACATCCTTAAATCTATCAGATATGAGTGGATATAGAAACCCTCAGAAGACAGCAGTTGCTGCAAGAAATTAATTGTTTACCATTAATAATAGATATTTAAAAAGCACCCATGGAGCAGCCAAGTTTCACCAGGAACAAGCCCACACTTACCAGGAACTACACATTTCCAAAGACCATAGGTTTTTCCTACTGTTGTCTGCCACAGCCTTAGTGTACCATCCTCAGAGCCACTTGCATATAACTCTCCGTCAGGGCTAAATCTCACACAGTGAATTGGACCAAAGTGCCCTTTGTAAGATTCTATAACAGAACATACCAAGACCATAAATTTCAGATTTCAGCCAACAACTGAAATTATGAAGTACAAACCGATCAGAAGAGGAGGGAAAAAAACCACTGATGAGAGGGCACTTTCTCAGTAACTAGCTTCTGATACAAAACAAAGCTTCCACGAATTGGTATCTCAGCAATGTCTAATTTAGGTAAAATATGAATGTTTCATTAACTGCAAGGAAAAAGGTGCTTGTTTATTCTAGACAAAACTACAAAGCAAGCCAGCAGCACAAAATACACATGCTCTGTTCCTTCAACCACTCACTCCACACACGTATAATTTTAAACAAGGACAGGATCAATGAAAAAGCTTGGAAACGTGCTTTTTGTTTCAAGTAAATTTGGCCAACAGGTACCACATTTTTCATAAAGGTAGCTGACATATCTAATGAATGCTATAGTATGATGCTCAAGTTAACACACAGAAGCAATACTGAACATGTATTTTTTTTAAATAGGTGCAAAGAGCTGCTGAATGTAGGTTTTAATTAGTTCTAGAAGAATAATGTTGGGTATACTGAGATAGGAAAAAAAGCTTAAACTGGTAATATACCTTTTCACCCTCTTGCAGAGCATGCTATGCTAAGACCTTATCTGAGCACAGCAGCTTCATTTACTAGTCATTATTTAATGGATAC